GGCCAAGAGGAGGACAAGAGGAGGACAAGGCCCAGCCACAGAGCCCAGCCACAGAGTTCAGGGGCGCGGCCAGTGAGTGTGGCCAGCTCTTTTCTTTCTAAGATAGAACCCCAACAGTAAACTCTGCTCTGGCCAACAAGGACGAAACGATGAGAGACGAGAAGATGAGAGGGACGATGAGACCATGAGAGGTTTTGGAAAGAGCGACGACAGAGTCAGTCAGTCCGAACGGCTCCCGCAGGTCGGGTTCGCACCTGGGGTGTTTCTTCGCTGGAAAACCATGTGGGGCCTGGAGTTCTATCCTGAAACCTGTGGAGCAGAAACAGTTTGAGTCCATGTCTCACCAGTTCGAGTCCATGTTTCACCAGTTCGAGTCCACACCAGTTCTAGTCCATGTCTCACCAGTTCGAGTCCATGTCTCACCAGTTCGAGTCCATATCTCACCAGTGAAGCTCAGCGAGTAGTTCATTGACAACACAGATCAGATCTGGAAGTTAGGCAACAGGAGCAATGTGATGCCGGTGACCACACTAGACGCAGGAAACAGCAGCCTGGGGAAGACAATGGCAGTGATTGCCCGCTTTTTTAGTTCTTTTGATGTCTTCAGTCTTCGTCTGACCCGTTTCCGTTTCCGTCCAGTTTCCGTCGTGAACCCGTCGTGGTCGCAGCCCAGCCTGCATCGAAGAAGTCAAAGCCCAGGCCCCAAACTTGGCCACTGCCCACTGCCTTTCGAAAGACAGCGGCATTGCTGCTGGTGCCATACACCGCGGTCGCGCCCGTGGTGCCCAGGGAAAAGGTTTGGACTCGGTTCTGATTGTGGAGCGAGCTCGGCGGAGTTCGTGAGGACACCCAGTTGTCGTTGAAGATCCAAGGATCGCCCGTGGTGGTGCCGTAGGCCAGGTCCCAGTCGAAAATCAAGTTCAGGAAATCCGGGCCACGGACAGAACCAGTTGACATGCCTGAATCCGAAAAAATCATCAGAGTCCCTCCAAGTTGCACAAAACTCTTCAGAGACTCCGCGCTGGTAGATGGGAAAATGAAGGCTATTTGAATTTCCGGCATGATGAAGACATCGCTCGCCCACAGGCGCTCCGAAAAATCACTTTGCGAAAAGCTGGTGATCTCTTCCTCAACCACTATGCTGTGGCCAGTCGCACTCCAGGTCCACACAATGCTTCGCAAGTTCGCAGTCTCATCCCCGCAATCTCCAATACCTACACCTAGGTTGAGGCCAGGGTAGTTGAAGATCGCGATGCGTCCCTGCACCTCGGAGACCGGGACGACGCCGGGCGGCCCGAAACGAAGAGCGAGTCGGTGCGTCCTCATGGGGACCCGTCGGACTGCGCTCAAAACAAATAGAGAGATGTCACCGAAGACAGTGAGATGATGAGATGAGTGAACTGGCGTCCTTGGGGACCAAAAATCATCGGACACTCGTAAGCTCGCCCCCCTGGGGGACTCTTGTCGTTCGCGTGTGTTTTTTCGTGGCGGCCCTGGGCTCCAGGTTTTGACCCAATAGCAAATGAGATTCAAACCTTTGGTACACTCGGACACAGGTTTCATGAGTCAGCTTTCAATATCTAGAGCAAAGGGCTCCAGAAAACTCATCTTGACATTCCAAAGAAACTCTCGGTTTGCCTGCGTCAACAAAGTTGTGACAATGTCACTTGAGTCAGGCAATGAACCATTACACAGCAATTCAGATCAATTCAGCATTCGCTCAGGAAAAACTGGCTGGAGTCGTTGACTAGTTGGAGAAGAACAGGGACAGTTACACAGTTGCACAATTGCAGGTGCTAAGTGAACCCATTTATCCGTGAAAGTTCTATCCGCATATCCGCGAAGGGCTTTTGGCGAAGCTATGCATGCCATGCCATGATGGGTCAATGTCAACTCAGAAATCCACACACACAAACCTTTCAGTCTTCTGCAACTGAAGGGCCACGAACTGCAAAGATGTTGTCGAAGTCACGGATGCCTGTGCAATCCAAAAATGAATCAAGCCTTGCGTCAAATTTGCCCCAACAATGTACGAGATTTGGTCCAGAGTCCAGACCAGCAACCATCTGTGGCAGCTTCTATCACTAACAAACTGACACGAGTTCATGTGGAATCAAACAATCGAGAACGAACCAAAAAGAGACCAACTTGATGAAAATGGATTGCACTGCCTTTTTGCTGCTGACCAATCAACCGATGCAACCTAAATCTATCTACGCAGTGTTTACACTGGGTACACATGCTCGTGCTTTCCCCATTTGAGCAATGTTTCTTGCAAGTGGTTTGTGTGATAATCCGCAGACTTCCAAGTGTAAACAAATCCTGAAAAAATAAACGGGTTGATTTAGTCAGTCGAGTCTGTGAAAACCCTCCTTGCAGCATTTCTGCTTTGTATTTTGTAAGGTGTGTTCCAGCTTCTTGACTGTCTCAAGCCACCCACTGTTATGAGAACCTACTGCGTCCATTGCTGAACTTTTCACTCTGACATTTTGCCCTCAAGTGTCGACTTCAAGTGCCATGCACACAAAAAGCACGATTGCGACCACAAAACCAATTTCATGGTGTTGTGTGGCCACCAAGTGTTTCTCCCTCAGCAACACCTGGCTTTTGCACCAATCGAAAAGACTCTTGCAACTCTAAGTGAAGTTTGCTTTGCGCAACACCGGACAAGATTCAAATTCCAAGAAACAGCAGGACTGGTTGATTCGGTTTGAAGAATTCCTACAGGACACACACTATCCCGTTTAAACTTTAAAGCCCCAAAGCCTCAAACGTTCATTGCTGTGTGTTGTTTGTTGAAGGCATCATTGAACTCAGGTTATCCGTGAATTTGCGCTGCTCAAAGCCTCAAAGCAGGCTTGACTGTTCTAAATGCCGAAGTTTCATGGGTTCCATCGCTTTATGGTACTCCAAGTTATGGTTGTTACCAACAAGACATTCTAAAAACAGTTAGCAGTGCTTAGCAAGCTTTGCAAGGGTAAGACTCAACCTAGACGGTATATGTAGGTGCATATATACAATATGCATTTATATATATATATATGGCACCCCCAGAACCCCCGCTTCATTGGATCTCCTATGGTTGGGATGAAAACGGAGAGGTGCCATACATACAGTATCAACATTGTCTCCTGATTGACGTCTGCTTGTGGATGCGTACTTTCGAAATGTTGCCCCCCCAAAAGAAAATTAGAGCATGTTGTTTGCAATTGTATAATCAAAGGTTCACATTCTCCAGAAAAGAGTTCCAGGCATGTTTTGAATCTTTGATGTGGAATACAAGAGCTTTTTGAGAGACCAAAGACTCATCGGTACTGGTTCCAAAGAGACTTTTAGGACTTAGGACATCTTTAAACCCTTGTGTATTGAATATTGTAAACAAGTTGTTGGGAGGCAACAGGTGTCCAAGATGTTGGAACGTTTCCTGGGGAATATTTGAGTCTTAGATCTTTGGATTGCAAAAAAGCCTCGTTTTTTCGTCAATAACTCCTACTTACTTGGATTGACTCACAGCTCTTACGTTTCAAGTTTTAATTCTCAGATGTGTTCGAACATTTAAAACATTTGATATTGGCATCCACAAAACTCCTAAGTACAAGTGACTCAAGATTCTGGCAACAAGTCGATCATCCCAGCCCTGCATGTTTCCCCTTGTTGTTCCATTGTCGCCCAGTATGATCTGTGTTTGCTCCTGGAACAAGAATACATCTTGACCAGCTAGTTGCCAGAATATACACACTTGCTCCACCCTCACCCCCGTCCCCCCGCCCTTTTTTGTCTCACTTTTCTGTGCATCTTGACAGAAAGTGTTGGCTTCAGAAGCCATGTTTGTCGTCTCATGGCATCCATGCCTGAAATTCAACCGCTTTCGTTGATAATACGTCTCCGACTACCAAATCAATTCTGCCACAGGGAAATAGGATTGAACATTATTCCATAAAGGCCTCTGCCAATGATTGAGATGTCTTCCGTGCAACAATCAAGGTAATGAAGGTTATCTCAATTTGTGTTGGGAAATAATTGTGCAAATGAGAATAGATCTGAAGGCATTGTTTAAAAGAAGCATACAGGCGTAGAGGATGGGACTCTTGTATTAGAACAAGAATTTACAATCAATGAGGCCTTTATTGAAGAGAATCCAGCAATGAAAAACAATTGGGAAAGGAATAGACTGGGTTCACTTGAAATCAAAACAAGGCTGGATAAGCAGCATCGCTCTTCTTGCCCGAGGCTATTTGGGTGCATTACATATCATATGGAGGTGCAAAGCTTGAAGCAGGAAACACCGGCCTGGCGTTGCTCTATTTTTCAAGACTTTAGGCTTAAGCAAGAACATATCCTTTGAGAACACTGCCGAACCCATGAGGTCTGGCTCTCGACTGCGCGTTGCGAGGGGAAAAATGTTCTCCTCAATGCAGGGGGCGAGGCGACGGGTGCACTTGCAGTGACAGCAGAGCAAGCGGCAAATACCAAGAAGAACCACTGGGAGCGGCAACGGCCAGCAGGGGGAACAAGTGTGCGTGTGTGAGCTTAAATGAGCGAGTTGAGGTTTGGGACTTGGTGTGTGCTTTTTAGAGAACACTTTCACAAGAAGAGAGCTCTTTAGAGCGCACGCCAAGGATCAAGGCAGGAGAAAACTACTTTACAATGGAAGGCCTCTGTTGAAGGAGAAGTGTTTGTGATGTTATTTATTGTATCAAAGAGATATGGTGTATCTATGCGGATTGCCAACTCCCCAATCACATTTTAATATATAGGTTTTGGAGTGGCAGGCAGACTGCGTTTCAAGATAGAGATTCAATGTTGATTCTGCAGCAGAACTCACAGAGGCACTCAAAAGGCAGCTATACAGCAAAACTCGCTTATGACAAGTATTTGCATTGCGTTCAGTAGATGATTGAAACCTATATATGTGTGAAAAGGGTTTTATGGGTGCACATATGTATAATGTATAATACAGTAGAGTTCCCCCTGTGATCTACCATACTACATCTGTACATGGTAACATCATATGCTACCATCTGCACACATCTGAGATTGGGGTTCTGGAATGATAGTATATGTATAGAGTTGTGTATATTTATATAATCCAAAAAATAGTCATTCTCCACCGGAGCAAATGAATCGCAACAACAACCACACCTCGCAAGCAACTCCAACATCTTCAGCATGCCCACAGTTGTGGCTGCCCCAGCCTGCCAGTCAAAAGAAATGGTTCACTCAATTTTGGCACAAAGTCGGATGCGAATGCCACTCCTGCCTGAGAAAGAACATAGGCTCAAGGATGTCTCAGATCCTGTACAAGCCACGTCGTCCATCCATATCTGCCCGCTTCCTGGAGCATGGGAGGCTCACTGAATTAAACATTGCATCTTACAAACCATTAAAGCATGGTTGAGCGAAGAAAACCCGTTGAAGTCCTCCACCAAACCGCTGAAAAGCTCGACCACCATACCATCCAAGCTGTGCACACACAACAGCTGCATCCACATCGGAGAAGGACTTAGAATCATGATGAATCACCAAATTTAGAAAATGTTCACCAGGCTGTTTGTTGCAAGAGCTAGACTGCCTGCGAGCAGCACCAAAAGAATTCAACCAAGCGTCATCATCGCAGACGGTTCCCCATTCACCATTGTGGAAGATTTCCACTCGGCCTGACTCACATGAGCCATCCATCAGCCGCACCGAGCCCTCCACCTGCCATCCATCAACAAAACATCGTCAATGAGCCCTCCACCTGCCGTCCACCTGCCGTCCTGCCATCCGTCCAAGGGTTTCCAAGATTCAGTCTGTGTGTCCTTCCTGGTAGGAGAAAACGATCTGTTCCTCCCATCCAGGGGGGGTTTTCCAAGACCTCCAAGCAGCTAAGCCAGCGCGCGCAGGACGCGGAACGCGCGCGCAGGAACCGGAACCGACCGCGGTGAGCGAGGCAGTCGTTCGGGACCGACGCGAAATATGGCGACGGTCGGTACCATGGGACGACACGGCGAACGGAAGGATTGAAATGCTGCATATGCATTGATCAGGAGTCTAGGCCGATGAGGTTTTTTGATGTGTAAGTCAAACTTAAAGGGCAGAACACCAGGTTTGTGAAGCTTGTCCAAGAAGCCAAACTTGGGTCCAGCTATGGTTGAAAAAAAATAGAGCGGGAGATCTTCATTGACCCATAAAAAAGGAACAGAATGGACTGCCTGGGAGGTCAACCTACCACGGATTAGGGGTCCGGTTTTGATTGGCAGCATGGCATCACAGTGATCATCGTCATCGTCATCATCACGGTTACCATCAACAACATGGTCAGCATCACGATCACCAGCAGGCAGCAGGCAGCTCAAACATGCTCAAACAATCGTTTCGCAACCTGAGTCAGCTTTCAATATCCTGAGCAAAGGGTTCCAGAAAACTCATCTTGACATTACAAATAAACTCTCTGTTCGGCTGCGCTGTCACAAAGTCACTTAAGTCACGCAATGAACCATCACACAGCAATTCAGCATTCGCTCAGGAACAAATTGGCTGGAAGCATTGACTAGTTACAGTACAGAGTTGAAAATGCCAAGTGAACCCATTTCTATATCCATGAAAGTTCTACCCTCATACTCATGTCATAATATGCATCAAGGGCCTTTGGCAAAGCCTTGCAATCCCCCTGCCTTTCTGGTCATAGGTCAACTCAGAAATGCACACAAAAGACATTTGCAACTGAAGGGCCTCAATGACTGGAAGGGATGTTGTCGAAGTCACGGACGCCTGCGCAACGCTTGCGTCAAGTTTGCACAACAGTGTACGAGATTTGGTCCAGAGTCCAGACAAACATCTGTGACGTCTTCTATCATTAGCAAATTGACACGAGTTCTTTTTAAAATCCGACCAAGCAAGTTGGCATCTTCCAACAAAAGAGACCAACCTGACGAAAATGGATTGCATTTGTTTTCGCTGCCCAAATGCTGACCAACTGTACACAGGGTACACATGCGCGTGCTTTCCCATTTGATACAGCAATGTTTTATGCACTTGGTTTGTGTAACAATCCTGCAGACTTTGATTTGTAAACAAACCCTCAAACAAAACAAATTGTTATGGAACCAAAAACGTATATGCTGTACACTGTAGCGTAGGCTCATAGACCCAAATAAAACCATTTGAAGCACGCTGTTATGAAAAGTTGCTGCGTCCACACTTTCCCAAGCATTCTACTACCACGAAATCAGTTCATTGTGTTATGTGGTCCCCAACTGTCTGACCAAACATCTGAAACGGTCAGCAGACACCTGAAAAACGTTGCACAAATGATGTTGTTCCCTCAGACCTCAGAAAAACCTAGATGTTGCGCCATTCAAAAAAATATATCGCACTTCAGTTAAAGATAATTAAAGCTTGCTTTGTAAAACACTGAACAGCGTTCAAAACCCCAAGGAGCAGCAAAACCTGCTGATGCTTCTAAAATATTCTAAATGTTGAATTATTGGTCGAAAGTATCATTTAGCTTGGGCCACTTTAGACTCGGCTCTGTGTTTCCCTCATCAAGATAACATGGTTACCCCGACTGTAGCAGATCAATCGCAACAACAACCACACCTCGCAAGTAACTCCAACATCTTCAGCATGCCCACAGTTGTGGCTGCCCCAGCCTGCCACTGAAAAACATGGTCCACTCAATTTTGGCACAAAGACCGACGCGAATGCCACTCCTGCCTGAGAAAGAACATAGGCTCAAGGATGTCTCAGATCCTGTACAAGCCACGTCGTCCATCCATATCTGCCCGCTTCCTAGAGCATGGGAGGCTCACTGAATCAAACATCAAACAATTCATCTTGTAAACGATGGAAGCATGACTGAGCGAAGAAAACCCATTGAAGTCCTCCACCAAATTGCTGAAAAGCTCGGCCACCATTCCATCCAAGCTGTGCACACACAACAGCTGCATCCACATCGGAGAAGGACTTAGAATCATGACGATAACGAAAAAAATCAAATGGGACAAGAAGGCCACTGCAGCGAGCAGGCAAGAATGCAATTAAGCGTCATCATCGCACACTGTTCCCCATTCACCATTGTGAAAGATTTCCACTCGTCCTTGATACTCGCATGAGCCATCCATCAGTCGCACAGAGCCCTCCTCGACCTGCCAGTTGAATAAAATTATGAGGTCAGGTGAAGCGGCTTCGGGTCGTTTCAGTGCCAAGAAAACACTCCGACGAACACCTCACATGGAAGTGGAGTGAGTGAAAACCCCGGTCGTTCGTGGGCAGGACCACGAACATCTTCCCGAGGCATCGGGAGGCATCGACCATTCCACGTCTACCTCCATGTGTTCGGGTGTTCGCCAGAGTGTCATCTAAGAACTTCTGAGTTCAGTTTCTTGTCACGAAGGACCTTCATGAAGGATCTCGTCGGGACCACGAACGCATCGAACGCACGTCTTTGACCGGAAATCGTCCTCTCCTCTTCGCCCAACGCACCGATCACAAGGCAAAACCTGGCATCGATGTCCCGTCGGGTTCCGGTGACAGGGCGGAATGGTGACAGGACTGGAGGAATGGAGGGATGTCGGCAGGTGCCAGGGTCAAAGCAAATTCACTTGATTCTTGATCTGCCCAGCTGTTTCTTCCCAGCAGTGTTCTTTTTGTATGGTTTTCTTCTGGGTGGCACAAATGACTCCCCAAAAGACCGGAGGACATCTCTGGTTTGGATCTTCTGCTCAGATCAACAATGATCGCCAAACATGAAAAGACACATTCATGTGCGCCAGGGTGCCATGTGCCCGTTTTGTTGAACCACCGCCCAAGGCACAGCAGCATCTTGTAACATCTTCGTCTTCTTCGCATGAAGATGAAGGAACCAGCGATCAAGTAGGGACCGCCTGCTCAGCTGCAAGGAACTGAGCTGTCAACTTTGTTTTGCTGATGGCAACATCTGGGTAGCAAAGCCTCCGAAAGCAGTCCCTATCAACAAGCGTACCAAGCGCACTTTGGTTTCTCGAACATGCAAACCTGCTTCAATCCGAAGCTGCCAAGAAAACCTGTGGTTGCGCCATGCTGCACACACACACAAATAACACCAGAGGACTCGATCCGCTCCTTTGGCGGGCACCAGTAGCTCGTGGCTCAGTCGGAAAATCCGCCCCAGGCCGAAGCTCGTGCTTGGAAAAATGCCCCAGGCCGATGCCCGGGCACCTGGGAGGATGGTTCTTGCGATGCCGCCAGACTCTGACAATGAAAAACACAAAACTGACTTGTGCGACTTGTAAGGAATGAATAGGAATGAGGGTGGTTGATGGTGGTTGGATCCAAAGGAATCTCTATTGAGGGCTCATGAGGCCTCATTCTCTACGAGTCGCACAACCATCAGGAAACGATAGAACACGGCTCAAACTCAGCCACGCACGTGGCCATGCACGTGTTCGGTTGGCATCTTTTCATCTACTTCGTAGAGTCTGAGCCAAACTAGCACGAATGGATCAGCAGCCCATGCCTAAACAACTAACTAATCACAATCACTCACATCCTGCAAGAGTTTGCAGACGTATGCAAATGATTGCAAATGCACTAGCGTGTACATTACCCAAATGATTCCAACCATGAAACGCACCGCTTTTCCATCGCCCGTCTGAAAAGATCGCCCTTCAGACTCGTCTTCTCCTGGCATCGACCTTGCCGTCCTCTTGGAGATCGACCTGGTTGATCTGGTCGTTAAGACCTGTTAAAACCTCCGGTCCGCCGACCTCGCGCTTGAGGGCGTGACCTGGTTGAGGTGGTCGACCGTATTCAAAGCGTATGGGAAAACCCAGTGGCTTCACTGGGCACCGAAGTCATGGGGTGGTCATCCGGGCCCATCGCCACCCCTCCTTGTCACTACATGTTCAAAAAGCATGACACTTTAGGCTCTGGCGGATGCAAAACAGAAGAAGTTACGAAGCAAGGAAAAGGGTCCTGAACTCGATCACATGAGCTCTGTCGGAGTGTGGCAGTGGCTGCTCACTGTTCTAGGCATGAAGGCGAAGCAAGGTAGACTGCTCAGCTGCAACCAACCCGAAATGAATTTGGTTTCGTCAATATCCCCAATTAGCACAAGGAACCAACAGCCCGTTACATAGGCAAACCTGATTCAAGCCCGAGCTGACCGGAGAAACCTGAAAAACATCGCTTTCCGTCCTGCACTACAAAAAAAAAAACGCGCTCCTTCGGTGGGCACCAGAAGCTCAGAACATAGAACGTCCCTTGACAAATCGCGCTTGGAAAAACGGTGGGCCAGGCGGGGGAGATGGTGGAGATGGTTCTCCGAGCAATGTTAATGTGAAATGCAAAACTATGACAATAATATTAGCAAACCAAACTGGCCGCCACACACGTGTTGGGCAACGATAAATTCGTTCATTTTGAGCCAAAAAACTAGAATGAATGCGCAACCCACGGCTGAAGAAGACAATTGCAGCATCAAGAACAAATAAACCGGTTTCATCTTGGTTGATTGTATTCTTCGCTTGTCTCGGTCGGGGCCCTAAATTTAACAACATATTGGACGCATGACATAGGTGGCCACGCACCAATTTTTCTGAATGTGTCCCCGACACCCAGACTAACCCATGTCAAGCACATCTTAGCGTCGATAACATCATGCGCCCTTTGTGACACAAACATGTCGTGTCACATCGCTCACAAGGGCGGCTGCAATGTCCTTTTGAACTGACTGTGCCCCTGTCAAGTCACCGGAGATGCTGCACGTCCTCGGACAGAAACCGACACATCTCCTTGGCACTTGGTATCAAGGCTTCTAACAGCCACCTCTGTGGACGTGCAGTTGAACTAAGTTTGCCCTTCGGGGGGAGTGTGACTTCCCCAACCTTCGCTGCGTTCAATGTCCACCGCACACACTGAGCAACACATAGCGAAGGATTCGTGCTTTGGCAAGACGAGCAACCAAAAGCTTTTGAGTTGCAAACGAGACAAAGGCCTAAAGCCACAACAAGTGAAGTGGCACGTTGGCAAGGCTCTTTGCTTTCCACGGCATATATGTCTCCCTCGTCTACTAAGCACGGTCCCATCATCCAAGAATGCACCAGCGGCATTCGCTAGATTGCCATCTCGAATTCATCGCAGCCAGTACAAGGTCGTCGTTCTCAACCCTGGAATGACCTGGTCTTTCCCTTTGAACATTGCAAAAAAGTACTATATTGTATAACTCAACCAGGTCTGATGGTGCAATAACAGCAGTGAAGAAGCTGGCATCAGAACCCCGTGACAAAGAAGAAAAGTCAACATATCTGGCGTTTGCATTATTCATGCAGGGTCTTTTGACCTGCTCAATTCGCTGGGCGTGCCTGTCCTCTCAGATCCACGACCTCCACAAAGCACTCAGCTCAAACTCTGGACCCCTCCCACTTTTACACACATCTAGCAGCACTGATTGATTGGCACAGAAAAAAAGAAAAACTCCTGCCCAAGGGGATCCTTCAGGCGGATCCTTTTGGTGGACAGTGCCTCCACGACTTGGATGCACGAGTTGGAAGCAATGCACCATTCGGGATTCGAGGATTTCGAGGTACCTCACGAAGCAATGCCTGCAAAATGGACCCAGACTCCATTGCTCGTCGATATCATGGTTTACAGCACTACATTTGCAAGACACGCAAACGTTTTTTAGAAAGAAGTTGATCTGGTCGTTGCACTCGTGGCACGGCAGCTGTCAAATCCCCTGCAAATCATTCCGACAAGAAACCTTCAAACTGTTTTCTGAAAACAAGCTTTGACAGGTGTCAAAACCAAAAACACTCACCTGTACCAGTGTAAGAATTACGCATGAGAATGTGCCCTTTTGCTTCCTCCGAATTTAATCATGTTCAAATGCAGCTCCATGCCCAGGCACCTTGCTTGCCACGACCTATCATCACCATCCACGTAGCATGGATTTTGAACAGTGATGCTGCACCTGCTGCACTGTGGCAATGCTCCGATGAACACAAAATCCAATTCTGCTGGGGTGGGTAGGTGTGGGCCGCTTTAGTACAACAACTCCCTGGGAAATGTTTTTGTACAACAGAGATGACGAGCTGTGGAAAGCTCAAAAATTTGCTACCCTCAGCTGATGGCTCCCTACCACAGGGTGGTTTTCCTCTCGAACGGTTCCCTACAAGAGTGCACCCCTCAGATCCTGTTGAAAGTGCCGAGAGAAGCGTACGTTGGGTTATGACAGAACCTCCCTTCTCTTCTCAACTATTCCAACGCAGCACCTTTTGTCCAAAACAGATGGACGCCTAAACTGTGGGGGGAAAAACTGGACACGTATTTTTGGCAGCAGTTTCAATTGCTGAAAGCCTGGCTCAACGTTTCAAGTAAACGAAACCAATGGCAACAACTCGTGTCTGCATCACAAGACACATATCAAGAGATGAAATGAATTGAAATGAACATCAACCTCATCAGCACATGCAAGTCCATCAAAACACGTCCGAACACCCAAACCGACCGTTCCTGCAAGGCCAACGGACGGTTTCGAAGGCACGAGGACTAAACCATGCTAAACCTACGACTTCACACTGCACGCCCTGTGGCAAATGGCATCAAATCGCCTACAAACCACGGTCCCAGTAGGATGTGAAGAAGCAACAGCGGAAAGTGAATATGCATCAGAACGCCACCCTGGCCTCACCAAGGCAGGCTGCCCTTGGCCGAAATCATGCGCAAAGCGCTCAGCCTGGTTCAGGCATTTGCCCAGCACGAGAGCTGGGCGTGACACAAAGCAGTCGAAACATTTGCAGTGCAATAGCACCCCACCTTACGCCTGCCTGCGAAGTAGGCGCCTTTGCCAAGACAGCCATCTGCAGGGGTGTCCACCTTGACTCCCACAGTGCCAGGCCCACGCAATCTGTTCAAAGAACTTTGAGGCCACAACTCGGAAGCATCCAGAGCTCCTGAAAAGATCTTCAACAATACGCTCCACCCGATTCACCCCAGCTGAGAGCCAAGCTTGATCTGCAAGGCATTCGTCCTGGAGGTGCCTCACACCAAACACTCAGCTCGCAGACATGGCCTAGCACCCCTGGCACTCCTCCTAGCCAAGCGGCCATGCCAAGCTTCAAAGGTTTGGCCCTTGCCGCCCATGGCAAGCCTGGTAAAATTTCGAGCTTCGCACGATCCAAGACTGTCATGGTGAATCCCAGCATCATAAAGTGATCCGGGGCTTTGCTCAGGTCTCCGCACATCTGGGCCTCGCTTGCTTGGCTGCGATGCTCTTACCTTTGTGTCCAACGAGGAAGGGTCCACCGGAATGCGTCACAAGGTGTTGCTTGTGATGACGCACCAGAAGGATTCCATTATTCAAAGGCACTGTAGGCGTCGGCTTTGCAAACTTCTGGCGGCACGTAAGCCCGCAGAACCTCGCATGCGGCTTGATGTCACATCCTCTTCAATCAACAAACGCAGTGAGGCTCCTAGGAATCAGTAGGCTGTAAGCAAGCAATGAGCTCAAACAAGCGATCGCCAAGGGAAGGGATTCCCGGCACCATTTATCCAAATAAATAAATAAGTATTGATCAATCAACAGGGTAGTAGTTGGTAACGCGCCTGACAGTAAAGAAAAAATGCCGAGAACAGCCAAGTTGCTGACCAGCCTGGCCATTGAAGCTTGGTCTACCACACCCGGCAGCGCACTGGTTGGCCGGAGGGGCTTGCGGAGCATTGTGCACATTTCCTTCAGCTGCAAGGGACTCTTGTTACTCTCTCTCTCTCTCTATTCATATACATAGTTAGACAGTGCGAGCTACAGTGGACATTTAGTTTTGGAATTGGCTGCCATAGTCATACCTATTAAATGTCTCTCTGGAGACAGAAAACCGTGAGACTTCCACGAACAAGCAAGGCTGGTCTTGTCAACCCAGCCATCTCCAGGACAGGGCATCATGCTCCTGTGGCAAGAAACAATTGCAACGGTTCACCTTGATCCAAAGTCGCTCTGGCAAGGAACACCACCATGGCAGGACATGCAGCAGAAGTCGCCCTGCGACTCAACCGGAAGTTATGTTATAATGTGTCTTCTGCCAACATTTCAAGCTTGAAGTATGTGTTCGGCATTCCAGTGTCTATTTTGATATTGAAACCTTGCCTGTAGGCCACTGAAAGATGATGTGCAGGGACAATCAGGATTGGCACACCTTGCAGAGCTTCAAGTACAGGACTCTTTGGCTTCAGAGCCGTGCTACCAATAACCAAAGAGCTGCACTTTAAACAACAAACCGGAACAAAATCCGAATTGTTGTTTTTGTTGCCTCTTTGCCTCCTTGTCTGCTCCACTCTACTCGCTACTCTACTTGTCTTCCAAATCAGCCACAACCGAAGCTTCGAATCATCGAGCCTTGAGAATGTTCCACCGGAGGAACTTCCACTCCCGGCAGCTTGGCTCGGCGCTGAGCTTGATGGAATCAGATGGGCTGCAGTGGTGCAGGGCTGTCCTGCCGCGCAAGTCTTGCAACCTGAGAAGGGCCCTTGCCAGCACCAAGCACAAAAAAGTCAAAGACAAACCAACGTCGACGTCTCTGCATAAGAATAAAGAATGATGCATATGTCTTGTAGAGAGAGAGAGACGGACAAACAGAAAGATTATGAATCTATGAACATGCATTGACACAGGTCCGCATAGAGCTCCACACCATTAGCTGAACTGTAAAGCACATGTTGCACCCTGCCAAAAACATACAGTAGAAGCATCCCAAACATGTTTGCCTGGAAGTCAACGGAGTTAGGCCCTTGAAAATCCATCCTACTTGTGTAGCAGGCACAGTTCTTTAGGACAGAAACTCACCAGGAACCTGTCCCACAAGAGTGTCCCACAAGAGTGTCCCACAAGAGCGTCCCACAAGAGTGTCCTACAAGTGTGTCCTACAAGAGTGTCCCACAAGAGTGTCCCACAAGAGTGTCCTATAAGAGTGTCCCACAAGAGTGTCCTACAAGAGTGTCCCACAAGAGTTTCCTACAAGAGTGTCCAACAAGAGTGTCCCACAAGAGTGTCCCACAAGAGTTTCCTACAAGAGTGTCACACCAGAGTGTCCCAAAAGAGTCCCACAAAATTGTCCCACAAGAGTGTCCTACAAGAATGTCCTACAAGAGTGTCCCACAAGAGTGCCCCACAAGAGTGTCCTGCAAGAGTGTCTCACAAGAGTGTCCCACAAGAATGTCCGACAAGAGTGTCCCATAAGAGTGACCCACAAGAGTGTCCTATAAGAGTGTCCCACAAGAATGTCCGGCAAGAGTGTCCTACAAGAGTGTCCCATGTCCCACAAGAGTTTCCTACAAGACTGTCACAAGAGTGTCCCACAAGAGTTTCCTACAAGAGTATCCCACAAGAGTGTCCTACAAGAGTGTCCCACAAAAGTTTCCTACAAGAGTGTCACACAAGAGTGTCCCACAAGAGTGTCCTACAAGAGTATCTCACAAGAGTATCCCACAAGAGTGTCCCACAAGAATGTCCTACAAGAGTGTCCCACAAGAGTGTCCCACTAGAGTATCCCACAAGAGTTTCCTACAAGAGTGTCCCACAAGTGCCACAAGGAGTGTCCTACAAGAGTGTCGTGTAAGAGTGACCCACAAGAGTGTCCTACAAGAGTGTCTCACAAGAGAGTGTCCCATAAGAGTGCCCGACAAGAGTGTCCTACGAGAGTGTCCTACAAGAGTGTCGTGTAAGAGTGACCCACAAGAGTGTCCTACAAGAGTGTCTCACAAGAGAGTGTCCCATAAGAGTGCCCGACAAGAGTGTCCTACAAGAGTGTCCCACGAGAGTGTCCTACAAGAGTGCCTTTCAGGAGTGTCCTACAAGAGTGTCCTGTAAGAGTGTTCCACAAGAGTGTCCTACAAGAGTGACCCACAAGAGTATCCTACAAGAGTGTCCCAGAAGAGTGTCCCACAAGAGTGTCCCACAAGAGTGTCATTTGGACATATGTAGCTTTTCGAACGTGTTTGCATTCGGGTTCGTGGGCTCCATCTTGTTTCTTTGGCTTGAGCATCCTCCAACTGCTGCTGTAGCTCTTGATACACCCGTTCACAAAACATAGAGTCAGAAGAGCATTGCGATGCTCCTTTGCCAGATGGATCTTCTTCAGGAGATACCAGAATAACAGCATTATCTTGAGGAGGTTCAGATCCTCTGGCAATTCTTGTATCAAACTTCGGGGATCGTTGTGAGTTATCAGTGGTTGTAGGACGATCAAACTTGGCATCTTTGCCTGCAGTATGTAGGTCATTGCTTTCGTCAACCTGCATTGCCTTATTGGCTTCACCAGACAGGTCTGCCATATTCTTAGGTGAGATGCTATCTTCTTGAGATATAGTGCCTGTTACATCAAGCTCGGTGGGCAATGGGCTAACTGATCAGCAACCTCAACAGTGAAAGGAAAATCTTTCTTGGCATTCTGGTCAGTCTTAAGGATGTTGCTAGTTGCTTTTGTAACAAACTTGGCAGTAGTAGACTGTGAAACATGACTTTTGGAGGCTTTCTGATTGTTGTGCCAAATGGACAAAATGCGGCCAAAGGGTGCATTACCAAAGATGTCATGCACCTCAACCTGTCCAGGCAAGAAGAGGAGAAGATCAGAGCGAACGTAGACACTGAGCTCTAGTGCATTGCTAACACATCGCGAGACTTTGCCCCTTTCAAATCGAGGTTGCAAGACTTGCAGCTTCTGACCTTTCTCAATTCGGCAGTGAACAATACATTCATGGTCAGGCAAGGTTGTAATGACTTCTTTATCATACTGACAGGGAGGCGGTTTGGACATAGTACATTCGAGAAAAATCGTATGATGGTCAAGAAGATGCTTTTGTCTCATCAAGATGTCAAAAACTTGAGAGACTTCTTGCATGGAAAGCTCGGCTTCTATGAGGCAAATCGGTACGATTTCATCAAGCATGTCTACAGCAATATCTCGATTGCCAATTTCAAAACTGAAGACTTGTAGTTGGCCAAACCTCCTGCGTGACATACTATTGCCTGGCAGAGGAAAAAATCCACTGAGTCGGGCACCCTGACATAAGCCTTTGTTGTGTGCACCTACATGGTGATCTGTTTTGGTTTCCTTGACATAGATGTTGGAAGTTCGTTCTGTGGTATAAACATCCGGCTGCTTATAATGTACTATTCTTTTTCGAGCTTTATGGTCGATAAAGATGCCAGGTATTTGCGGCAGCACATTAGGTGCTGCAATAAAAGCAATAACTTTCTGATGACCTTTGTCTTGTACATGCACTATAGCAAGCCGTATCTGTATTGCACCTAAGACATTTTGTAGCTCTTTGCAAAAGCCAGGATCAACAAGGCCATCACTCATAATAAACGATCCATCATCTTCAATTTGAAAGGCCTCATGGCGATCGCTTCCTGCAGTGTTAAAGTCAACTGTCCAATAGTTGTCACTAGCACCGACAACAAAGGAACATTGCAGGCTGCCTTCTTCCTTGCCAAAAGGAATCTTGATCTGTTCTTGGAAAATCCTCAATCGGAAGTTTTCGAGTTCAATTCCTTCTGCATAGATAACGAGAAGCAGTCTTTTCTGAATGTAATATGGAATGTCCATGTCAATGAGAATGGCTTGTAGTCGCCATCTTTCTTCTTGCGTGCATGACCTGATATCGAAAAAGGTGACAGCATAGTAGTTGTAGAAAGTGGGGGCGTCACCAAACCGCATGTTCCAAAAAAGGGGGGTTACTCTTTGGAGGTCTTGCTGGGCAAGGGTAGTGATTTCTTGGCTCAGACAGGCATAAATGGACTTAAGGGAATCAGCCACTCTGTGAGCTTCGGTCTCAGCAATGCCAAAGGTGATGCAACATCTATCTGTAGCTCTAAGTTTAGTATGCAGGGGAGGATCTTGCGAATACACTCGAAATCGAAAGACTCCCGGCACTGCAGTAATGGTATCCTGAATCTGTGGCGTGAGAAATTTGCTGGAACAAAGCCATGTTTCAGTATATTCCAAACTTGGCGAATAAACTTCAAAACTGTTTACATTGCGAGCTTCGCTAAGTGCAATGAAGTATGTCGATTTCGTAAAGATACGCGAGCGCCCAACTTGTGCAAATTCAAAACTTCTGTACTTGCTGATTTGCTGGATATGGGCTCGATGCCGCCTTAGAGACGTGCAGACTCCAATGGCAAGATCAACACACGTGGCATTTAAAGAGCATTCATGAAAGAGAAGGACGTGCCGAAGTTGACTGTTTGAATGATAGAGCTGCAAAATGTTATCTTGTAGACGACTCTGTATTCCATAAATAATGATATCAATCGGGTGTTTTCCAGAGACAGCCGCATAGATATCCTTGAACTCATCTTCACCAACTACAAAGCTAAGGAAGGCCCACGAAGCTGCGCAAAAACTCCTTTTGCTTCAAAAGAGTCAAGAATATCATCATAGACGAACTGAGAAATGGTACAAAAGACTTCCTTGGATGACATATTGACACGAATTCACAAAGAAGCAAGAGAGGAGACAAAAAAAGGGAAGGTAATGTCTAAGGACACCCCCTTCAAAGGTAGAAAAGCAAATCGGCCAAGATATCTCAATCAAACAATCGAACGAAAAGCTCTGTTAAGCTAGCAAGGCCAAACAAAATTCTCAAAAGATGTCTAAGGACACCCTTTGAGGAGGCTTGCGCGAAGCAGAGGACAAATCTGCAAATATCAAATGATGTCTAAGGACACCACTTGAAGATGTACGATGTCTAAGGACAACGCACTGCAGTGAGGAGTGAAAGAATGCACAGAGCCTAAGAGCAAACTGAGCATCCCGGCTTTTGGTGGCATTACCGCTGCTCCTCGGGCTAGGTCCCTTGTCCGCTGGGGTCTCCCTGGCAGGACTGTGTCTCGGCGCTGTTTGATCGTCGAGTGGTGGGTCAGCTATCCCATCCGTAAGTTTGTGCCACAGCGGAACTTCAACACGAAAGCTCGTCTGATAAAAGGATGCAAAAGAAAATCTGTCCAAAGCTCGCATCAAGCATCCCTTCTTCACAGCTGTCGCCAGGGTTGGGGTTTCCGGGATGGGGGGTATTGCTCACGCGAGCATCTTTCTTCGAAGACCCCCACGATGACATAAGGGTTGTTAGCAGCGTTATCCACATTGTGCCTGTATCTCTCTGCAGCAGTGAGCCTTCTTCAAGCTTTAGCGCCTTACACTGCGCAATGACCTTGTGCACAATTTGAACAGGAAAATACACATGCACATGGTCCATGGAGAGCTCAGGTTTGCCAAGGTGAAGGTCTCGAGCAAAAGACATGACGACTGTTTGCATCAGCCAGTTGGGCGGCCATGGCACCACAGATGGCGTCGAAGTCTTCTGTGGTGTGCTTAATCACCTCTCGGGACAAGTGTTGAAACTCCACTCTGGCTCGCAATGCTTGGAAGCTTGCTGAAGAGGAGTCTTTTTTTTCCCCGAGTACGGACGCCG